AAATCAAATAAATTAATATTTTAGAAGATTGATTGAATCAAAATTTATAGATAAAACTACTACAATCAATACATTGAAGTCAATCAATATTAAAAAGAATTCACTTCTCCAATTAAATAAAATATAAGAAAGAGTAATATTCAATATGTACAGAAAAGATAAAATATTAAAAATGATTAAAATACTCTACACTTTGTAAATACAATATATCAATAATAGAACATATTCTATTATCTTGTATTTGTCATAAAAAATCACAAATTGAGAAATATGACAATATTGGTATTATCATATTAAATAATAAGAAAATATAAATGAAATAATCAATAGAAGAAATAAACATATGAAACAATGTTCTAATACAATGACATCAATATCATATTGAACAATTAAATAATATCAAAAAGTTATTGATAGTATCATAAAATACCATATATATATGTAATAAATAAAAAGAATAAAACTTGTCTATTATTTGATATGATTATTGTGGCATATCATAATATTAATGGAATATATTGGAATAAAAGAAATAAGTATAAAGAAATGAAGAATATGCTTAATGAAAATAGAGAAATTAAAAGATATCAAAATAAATACAGTAGTAATTTCAATAAATTAATTAATAAATATAGAAAGTATTAAATTAATTAAAGAATTAAAAAATGAAATTAACATCATAAAAGAAGTTAAAAAACTTGTAATTAAGAATACAGTGGATGTCATTGAACATTCTTCCACCACAACTAAATATATGCTGTTGAACTACATGAAGAAGACTCATTGACAGGATTAGTCTCCAGTGAGCCATGAATAATAGATACAGATTCTATTAATTCTTAATTAATTGCTTTTTATTTAAAATTAGTTGTAATATCAAATTCATTTATAAATAATATATTTATATTAAATATTATAAATTATTTATATTTAATGAATGATGAATTGTTATTGATTATTCTTCATTCCATTTTCTTATTTTATTCTTTACTTATTTGATATGATTCAAATGTAGCACATCAGAGATACTGTATGGAACCATAAAATATTTCCATGTTTTGAATTTGTAGTTATCATCTGATTATGAAATTACCTTTGTTCGGATAACTTCATATTTAAGATTGATTAGTTATTCTTTGTCATTATTTATTATGAGTGAGTATTAATGAGGTATTTATTATGATGATAGTATTATTTATCAACACGTAAATACATTTACCAATGATAGTTTTGAGTTGAATAAATTGTGTGTTATCAAGAAAGACTATTTAAACAATGTTGATGATAAATGAGATAAACCATACACATAATGTTATTGATATGTCAAACATAAAATAACAATACAAATAATGATGAATTTTAATATTCATTTATTTCAAAATAAAAATCAGATAACAAATTAAATGATGAAATATTTGAATTGAGAATGATTGAAAAAAAAACAATAAATGAATAGAAATAAAACATGAAGAATAAAGTGAAAGAATCACTTCTCAACATGATGAAAACATAGTCATAAATAATTCATATTTAATTTATTATAGTTTCTATTCTAGATTTGTTTAAAATAATGATAATGACGATAAAAGTGAGTGGTGATGAGTAAAATGATTTTTATCGTTATTATAATAATTATTATGATGATAAATTCTATTATAATATATTGGTTGTGATAATTAACGTATTTCTGTCCATACAGATGGTACTTTTTTTGGTCACTCTTCTATACTTTGACTTTTAGTTGATATAACTTTCTCTTTCATTTGTTTTACTGTTTTATTATTAAAGTTCTTTTTAAAAACAAAAAAATAAATAAAACTATTTTTTTTAATAGAAACCTATGGCAGAGTCAACCTCTTTTTATGAAGAAAAAAAGTTTATTAAATAGATTAGGCAAAATCTCAAATGTGACTGGTTTGATGACAGGACCATTTGTTCCATTACTTTTGTTCAAAACGATTATGAATGAATTAATAGAATCAATAAAACTTCTAACAAATTCAAGTCAAACAATGAAAGAAGGATTAGAGCAACTTTTTGCTAACTCGGGTGTACAACCTAAAACTGTCATAAATGACATTTCAGAAGAGATTTGTGATGCAAAAAAACAAGATGATATTATTCAACAATTTAAAAAAACTATTCCAAACTTACAATTCGATATCAAACCTCAATTTTCAAAAGTCATTTATGACTCAGCTGAAAACAAAACAAACTCGGTAGATTCGATTAAAAAATCGTTCTTTAATCAAATATACAATACACCACATCTTCTCATTGTTAATATTAGTAAAAGGGGAGATGTTTTTGGTTGTTATGTATCAAAAAGATGTGTTAAAAAGGATAATTGGATTGAAGACCCCGAACATAGGATATTCAGGTATGATCCAAAGACTAACAAAACAGAAGTTTGGCGTCTTAAGAAACAATCAAAAAATGGAACAAAAGCCTTTTACTTTAAATCAGAAGGAGAATATTTGTATGTTAATATGGGAATTGTTATCCAAGCAGATCCCTTTGGAGCACCTTACAGTCAAATATACAAATGGATTCCAGAGCATTATTCTATAGATGATTCCTCAAAAATAGTTGGTCATAATCAGTTATTTACAGTAATAAGAACTATTGTCTTTCAAACATCTCCTCAAAGAATTAATTAATACAAAATAAATAATTTTAAAATAAGGCTGTGTTATATTTTATAATAATGATAAATGGGGGTTTTTATTATTCTTTAAATATAAATGATTGATTTTTAATAAAAACAATTTTTTAATTTAATAAACTTTAAAATCAAGAATTACAAATAATTTTAAAATGAAAAATAAAACCAATTATTTTCTTTTTTTTTTAAATAATTTTTTTTCCTTCTTTGATTATTTAATTATTACCCTTAAAAATTTCTTCGTATTAAAACAAATAAACGTTTTATTTTCCTCCTTTCTTCTTTTGTGTTTTTGATTTAACTTCTTGCCACTCTCCTTCATCATCTTGTATATTAGGTTGTGGTTCTTGTTTAACAACAACAGGTTGTTGTTCAACAGGATGGGAAACTTTCTTAACATTATCCCATTCAATTGGTTCAGATGCATGGAATTGTTTTTTACCTCCTCTTCCACCTCTTCTTTGATCACCTCCTTCTCTTCTACCATGTGTATGTTCTTTTCTTTCTCCATATCTTCTTCCTTCTCTTGGTTGGAATTGTTGTCTTTCTTCTTTTTTTTCAGTGTTGTTATGAGTTGGAATTTCTTTAATATCAGTCTTATGTTCAATTGGTTTAGAATCAATTGGTGTTTCTTGAGAAGAAGTTCCTAATGATTTTACTTCTTCTTTTGTGGATTCCTTTTGTTGTTCATTACCATAATGATATTTTGGTTTATAATCTCGTTTTTCTCCATTTCTATAATTATTTCTATACCCACCACGTCCTCTATGACTTCGTTCTTCTCCATCACCACGTTCCTTTCTTTCTTGGTTTTCTTTTCTTTCTCTATATGATCCACCTTCTCTATTTCCTCTACCTCTTCTTCTTTGTTCATTACCATCTTCCTTTGGTTCTCTACCATCTCTTCTTGGTTTATTAAATGAATTCTTTTGTGAATCATCTCTTGGTGGAACAGCAGAAACAGTGATAACAATATCTCCTACTGAATTTCCATCAAGTTCTTTTACACGTTCAAGTGTTTCAGCATTTTCAAAATCAGCATAACACTTTCCAGTTTTACCTACTCTAATTCCTCTAGCTTTGACATCAATTCCTTCTAATAAGTCTTTAATCATCCATTGTTCAAGGGGTTGACTTGGGTTCCAGAACATTAATACATAATCAGATTCTCCATATCTTTCTTTATAATATGTCATTTCTTGTGGCTTTTGTGTTTCTTCAACCTTTTCAACTATAGGTTGTTGGATAGCAACATCAGTTTCTGTAGCCATATCAATCCATGATTGGTGTGTATCAGTCATTACTAGGTTTTTTTCATTATCTAGTTCTTATATTCAATTTTACTATTATTGTAGTTTCTTTTACTATTAAACATATCAAAAAGATGATTATAACCATTCGATCTCATTCCAGAACTGATTTTACAAGAACCAAGTGAATGACTTGTACCATTTCTATTAACAAGATTGAAAACTATGGAACACTTAATTTCTGCTCATTACCTAAAATTAATGAATGTGCTTCAAAAACTGTTCCAGTTAGTAATGCACAACAATCTATTAATTCTTCAGAAAAGGACGCACAAATTAATCAATTACGACAACAGAAAGAACTTCTTAATACAACAATAAAAGAGTTGAAAAATTCAAATGAAGAATTACAACGTATTTTACTTGAGGAAAGAACAAATAAAACTACCATAAAAGATGTCTGTTTTATTAATGAAACCACTAATAAAGAAGAAAACAAAGAGAATAATTTATCTAATGATATAGAACCAAAAAAGGATATAAAATGTTCTAATGAACTTATTGCAGCATATCAAGCAATGCAAGAAGGTAATTTAGTTATTCCAATGGAAATTGAAGAATCTAATGAATTTATAGATAATTTAAATGAAGAAGAATTATCATTATTACATCAATGGACTGGAAAGCAAAAATTACATGTATTTTTTAATAATAAAAAAGAAAGATTTACAAGAGAAAATTGTTTATCTATTTTAAAGAATAAAACAGATATTATTATTTTATTAGAAACAGAAAATGGAGAAGTATTTGGAAGTTATCATCATCTTGTTCCACAACAATTTGGAAATTGGGTTAATGATCCAAAACATTTTGTTTTTGCAATAAGAAATAAAAATAAAATACAAGGAAAATATGAAGCTGATTCAAATAATCATTATTCATTAATGATTGCTGATTTTATGGAAGATGATGATGAATTAAAATCAACAATTCTTGAAATTGGATATTTTTATACAATTACACTTGAAGAAATTTGTTCATTAAATATGTCATTTAATTCACATTATT